ATTTAATTTGAAGGTTTACCTCATAAACTAATAAAAAATCGAAAATTGGCAAATATTTACAGCTGTTAATTAACAAATACCAATTACGTTGGGTAGCATGCAATGTACAGTATATACTAAAGTTTATTTAATGTTATTAGTCACCCCAAACTTTTTTTCACATAAAAAATTCTTATCTTTTGTCCAAATTTTATAAAAATGATAAGAAAGAAAAGAAGAGCAGTAAAGAACAGAAGCTCCGATTAAATCAGACACTGATAGAGACATAAACACACACACACACACACACACACACACACACACACACACACACACACACACACACACACACACACACACACACACACATACACAAAACATACACACAAAATAGCAAATACATACCTACATACAGTCACGCATACACACTTTCGCACTCATAAATATTTTCAATTACTCACACACACACTCACGCACGCACAAACTCATGCACGCAAGTACACACATACACATCCACACTCAGACGCATACACATGAATGATAGGGATGTTTAGAACCATTTTTTCAGCCCTATTTTGAAGTATGTTTTTTAGCCTTATAGTTTCCAGGAAGTGGATCTATATATAATTTTAGGAAGAGTTACGATAAGGCTGTTGGAGCCGTGAGAGAGTGGACCTTGTAGCTACAAGAAAAGAGGCAAGGCCAGGAACTGTAACTCGATCCCTGCAACCACTTTTAGATGAGTAAATATGAGTTAAATCTCCTTCACTGTAGCTGAAAAGTCGACAAAACATTCAGGCTTATTTCAGTGGAAGAGCATTAGTTTGTTTTAACTTGAGTAATTTCCATATGGAAAACTTTTTTCTGCATAAAGGAATTACACACACACACAGACACACACACACACACACACACACACACACACACACACACACACACACACACACACACACACACACACACACACACACACACACACACACACCCACAGCAACACCCCTTAGTTCCTTACCAGGTCTCCCACTTCCCCAACCCCAATATACCTCCCAGACCACAGTCTTAGAAAAGAAGTTGAAGGTGTGGTATACAAATGCAGATGGAATAACAAACAAGTATGAGGAGTGGCAAGAAAGAATCAAAGAGACATCCTCAGACATAATAACACTCACAGAAACAAAACTCACCAGAATAATAACAGATTCAATCTTTCCATCCGGATATCAAATCCTCAGGAAAGACAGAGGGAGGAGAGGGGGAGGAGGAGTTGCACTGCTCATTAAAAACCAGTGGGGTTTTGAGAAAATGGAAGGAATGGATGGCATAGGCGAAAGGGACTACTTAGTAGGAACAATCCAGTCTGAGGGACATAAGGTGATAATTGCAGTAATGTACAACCCACCACAGAACTGCAGGAGGCCAAGAGAAGAATACGATGAGAGCAACAGAGCAATGATCGACACACTAGCCGAGGTGGCCAGGAGAGCACACATGGGGGGAGCAAAGTTACTAGTTATGGGTGATTTCAATCACAAGGAGATTGACTGGGAAAACCTGGAGCCCCATGGGGGTCCCGAAACATGGAGAGCCAAGATGATGGATGTGGTACTGGAAAACCTCATGCATCAACATGTTAGAGACACTACCAGAGAGAGAGGAGAGGATGAACCAGCAAGGTTGGACCTTGTATTCACCATGAGTAGTTCGGACATCGAGGGTATCATGTATGAAAGGCCCCTGGGAGCTAGTGATCATGTTGTTCTGTGCTTCGACTACATAGTTGAGCTCCAAGTGGAGAGAGTAGCAGGAATAGGCTGGGAAAAACCAAACTACAAAAGGGGGAACTACTCAGGCATGAGGAACTTCCTTCAAGACATTCAGTGGGAGAGGGAACCGACAGGAAAACCAGTACAAGAAATGATGGACTATGTAGCAACAAAATGCAAGGAGGCAGAGGAGAGGTTTGTTCCCAAGGGAAACAGAAATAATGGGAAGAACAGAACGAGTCCTTGGTTCACCCAAAGGTGTAGGGAGGCAAAAACTAGGTGTACTAGAGAATGGAAAAGGTACAGCAGACACTGAACTCAGGAAAATAAAGAAATCAGCCGAAGAGCCAGAAACGAATATGCACAGATAAAAAAGGGGGCTCAGAGAAAAAATTTTAAAATGACAAAGCATCAAAAGAAAAGGGCCCTGACCCGAAGCGTTGTACAGCCACATCAGGGGGAAAAAACAACATAAAAGGAACCAGGTAATCAGATTTGAGGAAAGGGTAAAGGGGGGTTTTCACAAGAAACAAACCGGGAGGGGTTTTGTCAGGGAGCTCACACAAGATTTAAAGGGGGGTTTTTTTACATTTGGAAACCAAATAGGATTCCCAAAAAAATAAAACCCAGGGGGGAAACCCCATCAAGTGTTTGGATGAGGTCATAAAAAACCAAAGGGAGGAGGGGGGAAGAAGTTTGCAATTCAAACTTGCACCTAAAAGGGGGTTTTTTGGGAACCAGACAAAAATCCCCCTCCATGGGTCCTTAAAAAAGGGAGCAGAAAAAATTGTGTGAGCCATTAAAAAAAGATCTTCAACAAAATCATTTGAAAACTGGGGCCCCTCCCTGAGGTATGGAAAATGGAAAATGTTAGCCCCCTTTTTTAAAAAAGGGAGACAGACTAAGGCACTAAACTACGGACCTGTTTTCACAAAAGGGTGTATAGTATCAAGGTATGGAGAAATCATCAGGAGGAGAGGGGTGGGGCACCTGGAAAGAAACAAGGGTAAAATTGAAAACCCCGCAGGGTTTTTCGGGGAAAAGGAAAACCTTGTTCAAAACCTACTAGAGTTTTAAATGACAAGGTGACAGAAAAGAAAAGAGAGGAGGGGGGATCGACTGCATATTTTGGATGCAAGAAGGCCTTCGACACAGTTCCTCACAAAGGTTACTGCAAAACTAGAAGACCAGGCACCATAACAGGAAAGGGGACTGCAATGGATCAGAGAAATCTGACAGGGAGGGGAACAACGGTCATGGTACGCGACGGGTGTCAGAGTGGGGGCCTGTACAAGCGGGGTTTCCCCAGGGTCATCCTAGGACCTGTGGGGTTTTTTGGTATATGTGAACGACATAACGGAAGGGGTAAAAACTCAGAAGTGTCCTTGTTGCAGAAAAAGTGAAGTTAATGAAAAGAATAAAATCGGACGAGGATGGGGCAGGACTACAAAGGCCCTGGACAGGCTAAAACCTGGTCCAAAAAACTGGCTCCTTGAATTTAACCCTCCCAAAATGCAAAGTCATAAAGATTGGGGGAAAGGGCAAAGAAGACCGCAGACACAATATAGTTTGTGGAAAAAGCCCTGCAAACCTCACCAAGGAAAAAGATCGGGGGTTGAGTATAACACCGGCATTCCCCCGAGGCGCCATCAATAGATAACGCTGCAGATACGGGCGCCGGGGAAAACCCTACGGATAGCGTTCGTCCCTCAGTAAAGGATTCTTTTTTTAAAACTCTGTATACCATCACGTCGGGGCCCTACGGAGTATGCAGCCCATTTTTGGAAAACCCCACCCCTAGAAAGCCGTCAAGAAATTTAGAAAAATGCAAAGGTTTAAACAAGACTAGTCCCAGATGGGGAATTGCCTATGAGAAAGGTTGAGGAAATCGGCTGACGACATTTGGGGGAACAGGGGGTCGGGGAGACATGATAACGACTATAAAATATGCGGGGAATAGACGGGTGGACAAAAGGGGGATTTTCCAGAGATGGGACAAGACACAAGATCACAATTGGAAATGAAGATGGGATAAATCAAAAGGGATGTTGGAAGGGGATTTCTTCATCATAGAGTGTCAGGCCATGGAATACCCTAAAAAATGATGTGTGGGGGAAGGAACCTACTAGTTTTAAGGCGGGGTTTTGATAGAGCTCATGGGGCGGGGAAAAGGGAGAGGACCTAGTAGCAATCAGCGAAGGGGGGGGCCAGGAGCTGTGACTCGCCCCCCTGCAACCACAAATAGGTGAGTACAAATAGGTGAGTACACACACACACACACACACACAGTCTCTTTTTCTCGTTTTTGACTGACCTCCCCCTGTTCTACTTAGTCTTCCCCCAATCATTCCTCACCTTTACTACCCCTATTATTCCCTCTTTTCCCCACCCTTCACTCCACTTTTTTCTCGTTTTTGCACTAAAGTTTCTCCCTATTTTTTTCTACCAATATTTCTTCTACTCTTCTACTCCAACTATATTTCTATTCTTCCTCTATTTTTCCCTTCCATTTTCCCACTGATATAACAACGGCTTCCTCATTCTTATTATAAAAGGGTTTGTGTGTGTGTGTGTGTGTGTGTGTGTGTTTTTTGGGTTTTTTTTTTAAAAGTGTGTGCGTGTGAAAAATAATTTTGTGTTGACTTTGTTTTTAGTTTATGTACGTATGTAAATTCCCTCAGTTTTTTTGTTGTTTTTTATATGCCCCCCTACTCCCCTGTCCTCCAGTGTCGTCCAGTGTGTGGTGTGTGTTTTTGTGGTTGTGTGTGGTGTGGGGGTGGTGTGTGTGTGTGTGTGGTGGTTTACGTATTTTTTCATTCGTTTTTATGTTTCATTTTATCGTTTTTTTTTTTTTTTTTTAATACTTATGTGTCCACTCCGGGCCCGATTCTTCCCCTCCCGCGGTGTTTTTTTTTTTTTAAATTTTTTCCCCAAATTGGACAAAAAAAAGGATTTTTTTTTTTATGAAAAAAAAATGTGAAAGATTAATAACATTGAATAAACTTGGTATTTAAAATGTACATTGCATGCTACCCAAAATTTTTTTTGTATTGAAAATTAACAGCTGTAGTAATCTGTCATTTTTCGTTTTTTTCTTATTAATTAATTAGGTGAAATTTGAAATAAAATATTTCCACACTGCATCATGTTTATAACAACTAAAAGAAATCCAAGGACTCTTCCTGACACTCAACTATAAAAGCCTGGAGTCTCTGCTGTAAGACACGCTCGCTCAGCTGTGCCACGTTTATCCTTACAAACATGAATCTATTGGTGAGTTTTCCACTTCTATTTTTCATGTTTTTTTTCTCACATTAGGCAATACTTGAAGTAGTATTGGACAATAAATCGTTATTTTGGAATTTGCATATTATAATGAACCACATTTAGAATATTACAAAATTTTCATAGAAATTCACCTTACAATTTTTTTGAAGTTGTAAGTCGTGGCGCTTATTGATATTTAATGCATACAGGTGTTTGTGTTCCTGGCGGCTGCCGTTTGCGCTTCTGATGTTGAGAAGCGAGATGCGGAGCCCGGCCACAAATATTTGCACCCACATTATACCCCATACAGCCATCATGCTGGTAAAAGGGCGGCAGAGCCAGAGGCTGATCCAACTTATCCTTTACACTACGTTTCATCATACCTTCACTTGAATAAGCACTATCGCTATCTGAGATCTGCAGAGCCAGAGGCTGAACCTACCTACCCTCGGTACTATGCCCCATCTTACCCTTACTTGAATCTCTATCGTCATGCAAGATCAGCAGAGCCAGAGGCTGACCCTACCTACCCTCGGTACTATACTCCGTCTTACCCTTACTTGAGTCTCTATCGCCATGCAAGATCTGCAGAGCCAGAGGCTGAACCTACCTACCCTAGGTACTATGTTCCATCCTACCCTCCAGTGAAAAGCCACTACCGCCACGGGAGATCTGCAGAGCCAGAAGCTGAACCTACCTACCCACATCTCTATATTCCATCATACTACAAAGTGAATTCCCACTAGGTGTCTGAAGAGGCTGATGTTTATGCTGATCATACTTCATGGTTATATTGCAATGGGTGTCCTGTCAGTCACTATTGCGTTGCCATTTGCAGATGACATTCAACATTCAAGAGATCCACTGATCCTTCATCCAATACATACAATGGAAACCATTATTCTCACAACCGTTTTACTTACTAAGGCATCCAGGAACAAAAAAACATTCCTTTGCTTGTAACAATGTTTTACTTGAATGAGTGTCTTACGAACAATAAAAATATAAATGACAAAAAGGTGAATTCTCATATACCTAATAGCAGAGAACCTTGAGTTTTCCCTGAAGTAAGTTTATTCTTTTCTCTGAGGATAAGGGTCCCCAGCACAGTTCCAGAGGTGGTACCTTATTTATTATTTATTATTATTATTATTATTATATTATATATATATATATATATATTATATATATATATATATAAATATATATATATATATATAAATATATATATATTATATATATTATATTATATATATATATATATATATATATATATATATATATATATATATATATATATATGTCAAGGACTCGAACCCATGTTGTTTAGGCCCGCCTCATGGTGAACGAAAACCACATGACGCTCAAATCCACAGGACCACCACATCTTACAAGAATCAAGCACTAGGTGTGTTACCTTGGATAGTCTCAGTGTTGTTATTGATCAATACCACTCGTTCGTGGTTACAATAATATATATATATATATATATATATATATTATATATATTATATATAATATATATATATATATATATATATATATATATATATATATATGTAATATGTTATTTAAGTAAGTAAGTTTATTCATGTATACACAAATACAGTTACATAGATTATCACATATAGCAGCATATGTGTAAAGTACCTAGGTTTAACCCAAAAAGTCAGAGTGACTTATTTCCACTGGGGTCCTTTAAATTTTCTTTGGTGAACAGTTTGGTGAACATTTTTCGAATAGTACATAACAGTGAAGACGTGTAGGTTGTCCTGCAGACTCTTAACGACTTACGAGTCATTATCAGGGAAACATTCTATCAGTAAAGACTTTCATGACGATAAAAAATATAAATTAATTTGTGCTGATTATGTCGAGAATGTTTAAACTGATGTGTTGCTCTAAGATGCAGCAAATACATCCCAATGACCTTTTTTTCGTATAGAAGAAGTGCGATAAAATTGCTGATATTCCTTACTTTTGTAAACTGCAAGAAAGGGCATTACTGAAATTACGCACTCGGAAAACATTAATATCATGAAATCTACAAAAATCAGTATCGTTACATTCACGGAATGACATTGCTTTAAGTGTATGAAGATTGTTACATTTTATGAAACAAATGGACATGCATTTCATTTATTAATTTCGGAAAAAATTTTCTTAAATTCTGTTATGTGTTCATGGGTAAAAAATCATAACATATGATACGATCTGCTGTTAAACCTTCCACTAAGTGGCACCAGTCACTGGATGAATCCAAAGTCAGCTGTGTGGTAGCATTGGACATTGCTGGCGCTTTCGACCGGGTGTGACACCAGGGTCTCTTAGCAAAACTTCAAGCACTGGGAATTGTAGGCTCTACGCTATGTCTCCTCAGTGATTACCTTCATGGTAGATCTCTAAGCGTAGTTCTCAATGGAACGGAATCAGCAAGACATCCTATTGGGGCAAGTGTTCCACAAGGAAGCGTGCTGGGGCCATTGTTATGGAATGTCTACTTCAACGACCTTCATCATCTCATCCCAGAATCACATGCATATGCAGACGACTGTACACTTACATTCATTTATCCAAGAGAAGAAATGCCAGCTGCTCTAAGCTACATCAATCACCAGCTGAGAGCTATATCAGCTTGGGGAAATAGATGGCAAGTAACATTTGCACCTGAGAAAACGCAAATGATGATCGTCTCTAGGCACCATGATGGTAATGCTGGTGCAGTAGTAAGGATGAATGGAAGGGTGTTGGCACCTGGAGAAGAAGTTGATATCCTTGGGGTAAAATTTGACTCCAAACTAACAGGAAGAACCATGTTGTAAATCTTGCAAACAAGGCAGCCAGGAAGCTTACAGCACTTCGCCGTATCTCGCATCTACTTGACATTAGGGGTTGCAAGATTCTGTACGAGGCACAAGTACGCTCACTCCTTGAGTATGCTCCACTTTCTTGGTTTGCCTGCCCCCCCCTCTCATCTGCGAATGCTTGACAGAGTAGAGAACAGAGCAAGACGTCTCATCTCTCGCCTGGACCCATCCTGGATAGATCTGTCATTTCAGCAGAGCCTTCAACATAGGAGGGATTGTGGGTGGCCTTACTGTAATGTACAAGGCCAATTGTCAAAGTACCACACTTGGATCCACTTCGAGGACAGCGTGAAACAAGCTTTTATGCTACAAGACGGGCAGAAAGCAGCAACTTCACTCTGGCTGTACCCTTCTCCAGAACATCACTCCATCTGAGATAATAATACCCAGGATGACTCGAGTATGGAACACATTCGTACAGCATAATGATGCCCAACGAGATAAAGTCAGTTGATCAAATCAAAATGCTGGCCCACAGATGGCTCCAATTTCATCCTGTTCCCTACTTGTATGTCTCATAACAATAAAAATACTTTCAAATGAGTTAATGTAGGTAACAGCTCTTAGCTTGCCAATAAAGTTAGGAATCCTTAACCTGTAAATAGCTTGTCAATAAAGCTAGGGATCCTTAACCTTGTCAAACCCTGTGTAAAAAAAAAAAAAAAAAAAAAAAAAAAACTGAAGTACTTATCCCAAATTTATAAGCAAATAATAATGTGAACATGTTAATAAAGGCATGAATGAAAATGAAATAGGTCTTTTCGGAAGCATTTAATTCAATTGCTTAATGCTTTTACTTTTGTGACATGGTGTTAAAAATATAATATTCAATAATTTCATTCTCAGTTTGCTTACAATTAGATGATTTCTACCGCTGTAGATTAGGTCCAAGGAAATTAATAACTCTTTTACTTGGAATGGCGATAACTAATCATTATATTTCATATTGCAAATAAAATGTTTTTGAAAGTTGAATTTTAAATTTTCAACCACTTGTGATTATGTAGTGTTGCAACTGTCCGCTTGTTCCCCAAATTTCTTTGGATTCATATTAATTTACAGTTTTTTTTCTTCATGGAAATCCATATATTCAGATTTTTTTCTTTAGATAATAAGGACAATTACGACGGTTGTTGTGTGTCACTAACACAAAACTCCTGCAAAACTGGGCTATAAAACTAATAACTGAGATATTTTTTTCGTTTAAAAATTGTGTAAGCTACATTGTGATGGACTCAGTCATTATAAACAATTATTGCTATTTATTTATCGAAATACCATTTTAAATAGTTATTGCATTTTGTAATGCAAGAAAGGTACTTTGAATATTTTCTTAATAGCATTATTATATTTATAATAAAAATATTATTATTATTTTCGTTTTTAATTTTAATATTATGATTGTTATTATAATTATTATTATTATTACCAGTATTATTATTATATGATATTATTATTAGTAGTACATATTCACAAACGAATTAACGTACTGTAGACTGTTGTTGTAAATGATATTGCAGCTTTTACAACTGTAGTATAATTACTGGGGTTTTAAAAGCGAAAAAAATGAAACAAATGTTATACTTAAAAAGATAAACGCGTTCTCCTTAGAAAATTATATAACCCATAATTGAATAATTTTCAGCTCTTAGGTATTAGAGAAATTTCACTTTATTGTCATTTATATATTTTTATTGTTCGTAAGACACTCATTAAAGTAAAACATTGTTACAAGGAAAAGTAATGTTTCGTTGTTCCTGGATGCCTTAGTAAGAGAAACGGCTGTGGAATAATGGTTTACATTGTATATATTGATTGAAGGATTTAGAGGATCTCTTGAATGTTGAGTGTTGATTGCAAGTGGCAGTGCAAGTGACTGACAGGATTCCCACTGCTATAAAAACCATGGATAAGGCCCAACAAAAAACACCCGCTTCTTCAGAAAAACAAGGGGCGCCAGTAAAAATTTAACTTTTTAGTATATGGAATATAAAAAATGTGGTAGTATTTCATTTTTGGGCCTCTGCAAACTTCCGTGCGATAGAGAAACAAGTGGGGGAAAGAGGGGGCAAAGTACCTGGGGTAGGTGGGTTCAACTCGGGTTTTCTGCAGATCTTGCTACGACAGAGACTTGTGTTGCAGCCCATCCCCCGTGGAAAAAAGACGTCGTCTTTCCCCCTTTTTACTGGGGCAACCTGAACCCTGTTGCTCGAAAAATTTACTTGGTTATCTTGATTTATTTTCTTCCCACCAGAGCTGAGAGGACTTGTTTGCAGTCCCCTTCACCCCAAACCCATCAAAAAGGGTAAGGCGGTGATTTGCTTGCTTTTTCACCCCTCCCCCCCCCAACCAAACCCATCCTTTCCCACCTCCCCCTCACCCATACATCAACACGGCCCACACATTTTAACACACTACATACATTGCTATCCCCCCTGACTGCCACTTCTTTTCTTTTTTTCGGCAACTTCGTTTTGGGCGATTAAAAACCCCCAAGGGCTTTTTGACCCATCTGGTACCCGGTGGTTTTTTAAAATCCACCCGATCTTTGCCGGGGGCCCTTTCCCCTCACCACTCGGGGCCGCTATCTTGGGGCGGACCTTCATAAGTCAGCGAAAAAAGGATTTTTTAGGCAAACTTTAAAAGGGAAAGATCCTTTTTTTTTAAGCAACTCCCCCTCCCAGATGCCCCCCCCGGGCACCCATGGCGAGGATTCGTGTAAGATTACCTTTTGAGGGAAAACCAAATGTCCATGAAAGAATTCTCAAATGAAATTTGTTTCCAAACCCTAAAACTGTTGTTTCCAGTGGATTTTTTTAAAAACCCCCACGCTGGAGAAAACCCTTCTCCTCTCTTGGGAAGAAGATTACATTCAACTACTAAAGCAGGGATTCTTGGATAAACTGAAAAATTTTCGGGTTTTTTTCCCCCAGTTGCCCCTACAGTTTCAACTCAGGGACTGTGTTTTTGGGGCCAAAACAACAGTTTTATGAAACCAGCACTTTTTAATGAAATTTTTTGGAAAAACCTTTAAATGCCGAAAATTCTGACCTTGGGCTTAAAGCCCTAAATTAAAAATTTCCCAAAACAAAAAGGGTTAAACCTTAAAAATTAACCTGGG